TTATAAGAAGGGATCTCACAGGCTTTACTGTGCCCTGGATGAAGACCTCTAACCAGATTCTTCCTTTGTGTGAGATGTCCTCCTTCCCACAGATTTCTAGAAAAAATTCTGAATATTCACTGATAGATGCAAAATTGATTCAGGACCCAAAGTCAGTGGAAAGAAAAAATTGCAATGAGGCAAGAAATAGGGAAAAAAATCATTCCAACATCCCAGTTTGCACCCACTCTCTAAAACAGAGGGAAAGGTGGCAAAAGTTGTGGTTTGAGTGGGGCATTTATTTCTTTTTAATGACTTGGTGCAGAGGCTGATGTTCACTTTTTCATAAGGAAAATTCAGCAAAATCACAAGTGGATGAGTAACTATTCAGCACTGTACTTCAAAATTTAAATTATTCCAGTGAGTAGAGAAAATATAATTTATTCTTCTCATGAGAGAGAAAATGAGCAAAAGACAGACAGCAAGGTCTGTTCTTTTAATTCATTAATCTAGCAATCTATATTCCACATTTTTGCAAATCAAATTTATCCTGCATAGTAAATGTAGCCTGGCAAGACTTCACTTGAGTATATGTGATTTTACTTATGTCTTTTCAGAAATTCTTGACCACTACACGTTCTTTGCAAACATCAAAGCAGAGATCATTGTAGCTGTCTTTTTTCTTTTGCCAGGCTGGAACTGAAATATCCCATAAGTACATGCTGTGAAATAAAGATGCTGATTTGAGAGATCTTAAGATCCTGTAGTCACTGGAAATCAGGGAGCTCACACAGAATCTGTATTGCAGATCTCTCCCAAACCTCAGGTTTGGGTATATAATAATTGCAAATTCATACCCATTCCCTATTAATTTGATCTTTTTTATGTTTTTTTTTTCTCCTTCAAGCCCTTTTACAAACTGTGCTATCAATCAATTACTAATGTTACCAGACTTGCTACATTTCTGTATTTTCTAGTAATGCAAAAGTAATTGTTAAATGCATCCCTTAAGGGTACATATCAAAAAGATCTTTCATACAACTTCTTTAGGCAGCTTTCATTTTGCAAAAACAAAGTTACTTTTTAAACCCCCCAAAATTATTGCAGAGTTATTAAAATTGATTCAATTACCTTCCACACTGAGAGAGTCCAGGAAATTGTGATTTCTGGGCCCATTTTCAGAAGCAGGCAAAGACAAGAATTTTATATTTCAACCAAGCACAAATCTAATGGTCTTCTCATTTCTAGAGCCCTCCATGCCTGATGTGACTTTGGAGTCTTGTCATCATGCAGGATGTGAGTAACTACATGCTTAGTGTAGTATTGTTTATAAGCTACATATACCCACATTTCTTGCAAGTGCGTTGGTGGCTAAAAAGGTCAATACCAGATAGACACGTCTGGTTGCAAAAGGCACAGCAGAAAGATTCCTTAGGTGGTATATTCTGCAAGACATGATTCTTTCTGCATTGTCTTTTCTCCTCAAGAGTGATCCTGCGTGCGTTCTCAAAAGAAGCAGCAGCGTTATAAGATAGTGTGTTTCCAGACCTCCTGATTGGAGGCCAGAGTTGACCAGTGATGATGATCAATATGGCCACGGCTGAGATGTTGTTTCAGGGAGTCCTTGTATCTTCTCTTCGGGGCTCCTGTCTTGCAGCAGCCAGTGGCAAGTTCATCATAAAGCAAGATGTTAGGGAGGTGGTGGTCCTTCATCCTGGAGACATGTCCTGCCCAACGCAGCTGCGTTCTCAGTAACATGACCTCAATACTTGTGATTGCTGCTTGTTCTAGAACAGATGTATTGGTCACATAATCTGACCAGTGGATGTTTAGGATTGTGCGGAGGCAGCGTTGATGGAAGCGTTTTAGGAGTCACAGGTGGTGGGGGTAAATGACCCATGATTCGGATCCATATAAAAAGAGTAGACAGCACAATGGCTCTGTAAACACTGATCTTTGTACTTTTCTTCAAGGGTTTATTTTGTCAGACTCTTTTACGGAGTTTTCCAAAAGCACTATATGCCTTTGCTAACCTGTTGTCTATCTCTCCATCAATCTTACCGTCCAAGGAGATGAGGCTGCCTAGGTAATTAAACTGCTGGACTGATTTGAGCTCTGATTCACCAATGCTGATATGGGGATGATGGAAGACTTCCTGAGGTGCAGGTTGATAGAGAACTTCTGTCTTCTTTAAGCTGACTTCCAGCCCAAAGAGCTCAGCAACCTCAGCAAAGCAGGATGTTAAACACTGCAGAGCTGCTTCTGTGTGGGCAAAAAGGGTGGCGTCATCAGCATAAAGCAGTTCACGGACAAGAAGATTTAAGGTCTTAGTATGGACCTTAGGTTGAATAGGCTTCCATCAGTACAATATCGCCTGGCTGCAAGGGACAGGGGCCTGCCTCCGCCTGCTGTTTGAGGAAAACTATTCATTTAAATGGTATTTCTTACATGAATAAGCTTCTGGGTTGAGCAATCTGTTGTGCAAAATGCACCCTCTTCCTCTTCACTAAAAAGAGAACACTGACTTTGAGTCACAGGGTCATAATATTCATGATACAAAACACTAATGTTACAAAGAAGAACTTGTGCACAACAATTTTCGAAATATAAAGCATCTTATTATAGGTACCATCGACATTTAGCTTACAGGGTTTCTTTCCTGTTTAGATTAGGTATCTGTATCTGTTGTTTGATTTGTCAGAGAAGATCATTCTAACTGGGATGTAAAAGCTTCCCACCATTGGTTCACATAACATTTGTGCTTCTCATTTGCAAACCCTGGGATCATTATTTATAGGCAGAGGAACTTTGGAATATCACACAAGAATGAGAGAATTCTTCATCTGTTCATAATTTATTCTAGTCCTGCTGCTAGTTTTGGCAGTTCAACCATTAGACACAGTCAGACAATAAAGCTCACAGCATGATACCTATCTGTAGATTGCTCTGTTTTTGAAATCTAGGCAGCAATATTCTTTTGTTAAGTAGAGACAAAATTCCGTGTACCATGCAAACGTGTTTTTAGATCAGCTATGTACATTATCTGCTGCTGAAACAAATATAAGCCATATTTAACCAATGACAGAATCTGGCATTTTATCTCAAAATAGTTTATGCACACTCAGCTTCAGGACCATGTTTGGATATGAGATAATAACCGAAACAAAATCCACTTTTAAATGATTAAGTGTATAATAATCCTTACTTATTTTATCCTTGCAGTCATAGTTACACTCCCAGGTCCAAATGAACATTAGCTATGTCAACCTACATGCTAACTAAAGCTGACAGAGTTATCAGTCAGTAATCAGTCAGTTATCAGTCAGCCAGTTGTTGTGTCTGCGTGGAGGCAAACCTGCACTATTGTCCTATTGATCAGTCTGCTTTTTCAGTTCCTTTTCTGGCAAAGAATTTATAGAGAAATTTTGAAAGGTAGTTTGACCAACTCTAGGAAAACCAGGGAATTCTTATCTTACACCTCTAAAAAAGAACATGCCATGGTTCTGGTCTTGGTCCTGGACAATTTTTCAAGGGATGGTGTGTAGTGTATAGGCAGCTTTCCCAGTTCCCTGGTTTTGATATAACCCCCTTGTTTCCCTTTTTGCAAAAGTTAGATGACTTCTGGCACTGTCCAGCCTGACAGATACAAGAAGATGCTCTAATGTGTGATTCACCCCAGTGAACTGAGGGATGGCAAGAGATGCACAACTCTATTACAAGCACTAGTAACATAAGACCTTGCAGTTGGATGCTGTCCATTACAATTGAAAGCTACAGAGCCTTTTTGCTGCCAAATGCAGAAATGCAACTTCTCTTATTTTTCACACACACTTTAAAATTCTTTAGAAATGCAGAGTGCACAGGGAGGCTTACAAAATGCAATAAAGTTTCACACACAATCTTTCTCAGGGGAAATAGCTAACGTTTATGTTGAGACTTCAACTAAGCAAGGCTAACCCTACTGTGATGAACTTAAATGGCAATGAGAAAGATTTAGGTTAGGCATTAGGATAATTTTTTTAATGGCAAGAATAGCGAAGCTCTGCAGGGATTGCCCAAGGACATTGTTGAATATCCATCCCCAGAAATCTTTGAAAAAGAGAAAAACTGGAGTTGTAGGTGAATCTGTCTTGGGGTAGTCAGCTGAACTACATGAAAACTTAAGGTCAACTCCAGCTTTGTTTTTGTATGTTACCCTGTTCCATAACTTACTATGAGAAATATCAGCAGAAAAAGCCCCCTCAGCCTCATGGAAGTGTGTGCTTTGGATCTGACACACTTTTCCTGACAGTGCTGTATGCAGTGTCAGGAAACCCACTGCAGCAGTGGTTGAGATGACCCAAGCAACCTTTGCAGCCATTGCAGGAGTTACAAACCATGTCAGCCAGGGTGCATTGCCCCTACTGGTGAGTCATCACCCTGATAAGCCTGAGGCGCAAGCCACAGGGACAGAAAAAATTAGTTTAAAACAGAACAATAATGTGAGACTCTCCCTTTTCTCAGTATCCAAAGGGAAAAAAAGGTTGCCAAGAGATTTTGTAAGAAAGTCACTGGCATGATGGTATCAAACACACTCTTATTCTGCACTTTCTGCACAGCTAGAATGCAAGACAGCTCTAGACTCTGGCTTTTTCTATCAGTTTCTTGCAGGTTTCCATCCAATGTAGATTAAAAAATTGAAGAGGAACAGTAGGGTGGGAAACATCTATTAGGGCTGAAGAGCAGCAATGACATTTTTCAGAGAAAGTGTGAGAAATGCTACACAGGATGCCAGTAATGAGCAGAAAGCCTGCGCTATCCTGTAATTTCTTCAAAGTAGTGCCCAGAAAGTGCTTATTGCATAACTTTTCTGTTACAATTAAATATAATCATCATGATAGCAAGGAAGTCTTTAATTTTAACACCATTAGATAAAGTGTAGGTGACAAGTGGTCACTGTCATGTAGAGAGTATTTAGTCTTCTTTATAAATTGAAACACTATGTATAATTCCTACTGATGGTGTATTTATATCCTGAACAGATGGATTTCCTTGTCATCCTGACTGGTCATCTCAGCAAGAAGGCCAAGATTTGAAAGAACCCAGAAGAATTAAACTGCAGGAAAAATGAGTATCACTGGGGGAGGTTTGTAATTTCCCTTCAAAGTATAATATAATTTAAAAAATCATGCTGGAGTATATTTCATATGGGCTGAAAAGGAGAAGAAAGGAAATATTGCTTGGTCCCGTTACTGCTGCAAAAGGAGACAGATAAAAAGAAATATTAGGAAATTTACATTGCCAAGAGAAACACTTTAAGAAACCCTATTAGGCAGGGCCAAAGACTTATATTTTAAAACCAGAGATGTTCTACAATAATATGGTATCTAACATCTAAATGTGAAACACAGCCTGGGAATTTTCTGTTTCTTTGTCAAGGCAGGATTTCTGATCTGTCTAGTGATTCATCACAATATAAAGGATTGGATAGTCAAAGGAGGATTAGAGTTACATTTCATGAAAACTGACGAAATTTCTCAAAACTAGCAGAATGCATCTTCAAGGACCAAGACAACAGCACAGCTCTGCCATGAAAGACTTGTTAATCCAACTAGTCACAAAATATGGTTTCTTCTCTGATTCCTTGCTCTGATCTCTTTGCTATTTGTACCAGTTATTAAACTTAAAACGCATTTTAATAAAATGGCAGAAGCCAAGCATCTTTCAGTGTCTTATATTCACTTTATGTGGAGTTGTCAAGTTCAACAGCCTCATTAGCTTTGCAGTGGCTGAGCCTTAGTGGATAAGCCAAGTTCACTCAGCCCTCTACAAATGCAGCTGGTTATAGTACTTCAACACTTCAAAAAAAGAATGAAAAAACAAGGTTGATCAATAATTACTACTCCCACAGTGAGACAACCATGTATTATTTTAGAAAGACTAGTTTGTCCTCAACCTAAACATTCATTTTCATTGCATTCCCTTTGAAGCAACTAGAAGTTGAGCTGTTGAACAGAGTGGTTTTCTCTATTTTAGTCTGACAAAAATTGCAAGAGTGAAAAAAAAAAGCCAAGGAAGCAGAATATATTATTTCTCATATCATGGCTAGGCTTCGCGAGCGAAGATTTGGGAAGGGCTCTACCCACGTTTCTTGCAAGCGCGTTGGTGGCTAAAAAGGCCAATACGAGATAGGCATGTCCCGTTGCAAAAGGCACAACAGAAAGATTCCTTAGATGGTATACTCTGCAAGGCACGATTCTTTCTGCGTTGTCTTTTCTCCTCAAGGGTGATCCTGCATGCTTTCTCAAAAGAAGCAGCAGCGTTATAAATGGTTTGTCTCCAGACCTCCCGATTGGAGGCCAGAGTAGACCAGTGATGATGATCAATATGCCCAAGGCTGAGTTGTTGCTTCAGGGAGTCCTTGTATCTTTTCTTCGGAGCTCCCCTCTTGCGACAGCTGGTGGCAAGTTCACCATAAAGCAGGATCTTGGGGAGGCGGTGGTCCTTCATCCTGGAGACGTGCCCTGCCCAGCGCAGCTGCGTTCTCAGTAGCATGGCCTCAATACTTGTGACTGCTGCCTGTTCCAGAACAGATGTATTGGTCACATAATCTGACCAGTGGATGTTTAGGATTGTACGGAGGCAGCGTTGATGGAAGCGTTCTAGGAGACGCAGGTAATGGCGATAGATGACCCATGATTCGGAACCATATAAAAGAGTAGACAGCACTATGGCTCTGTAAACACTGACCTTGGTACTTTTCTTCAAGTGTTTATTTCGCCAGACTCTTTTACGGAGTTTTCCAAAAGCACTATATGCCTTTGCTAACCTGTTGTCTATCTCTCCGTCAATCTTACCATCCGAGGAGATGAGGCTGCCTAGGTAATTAAACTGTTGGACCGATTTGAGCACTGATTGACCGATGGTGATGTGGGGATGATGGAGGACTTCCTGAGGTGCAGGTTGATGAAGAACTTCTGTCTTCTTTAGCTGACTTCCAACCCAAAGAGCTCAGCAGCATCTGCAAAGCAGGATGTTAAACGCTGCAGAGCTGCTTCTGTGTGGGCAGCAAGGGCGGCGTCATCAGCGTAAAGCAGCTCCCGGACAAGATGGTTTAGGGTCTTGGTGTGGGCCTTCAGTCGCCTTAGGTTGAATAGGTTTCCATCAGTACGATATCGAATGTAGATACCGTCCTGATCGTCAAGGTCTGCCGTGGCCCTTTGGAGCATCATGCTGAAAAAGACTGTGAATAGGGTAGGAGCGAGAAGACAGCCTTGTTTCACACCATTCTTTATTAGAAAGGGCTCAGAAAGTGCATCACCATATCTGACTTGGTCGTGCTGATCCTCATGAAGTGAGACGATCATTTTAAGGAACTTGGGGGGACAACCTAAACGTTCCAGAATCTGCCAAAGACCTTTTCTGCTCACAGTATCGAAAGCCTTGGTGAGGTCGACAAAGGTTACATAAAGACCTCTGTTCTGTTCCCCACACTTCTCTTGCAGTTGTCTGAGAACAAATACCACGTCTGTGGTGCTCCTGTTGGCTCTGAAGCCACACTGACTTTCAGGTAGAATTCCTTCTGCTATAGGGGGTATTAGTCTGTTCAGGAGTATTCTTGCCAGGATTTTGCCAGCAATGGAGAGCAGAGTAATACCACGGTAATTTGAGCAGTCTGATTTAATTCCTTTCTTCTTATACAAAGTGATGATGACTGCATCACGCAGGTCTGATGGTAGTTCGCCTAGTTCCCAACAGCGCACCACAAGCTCATGAAATTTAGCATGGAGTGCAAGGCCCCCATGTTTCCAGACTTCGGGTGGAATTCCATCAACCCCAGCTGCCTTGCCAATTTTCACCTGCTGTATGGCCTTGAGGGTTTCTCCTAGAGTGGGGGCAGTATCCAATTTGTATTTCACCGGTTGTTGTGTGATGGATTGAATTGCTGAGTCTTGTACTACACGGTTGGTACTGAAAAGAGTCTGAAAGTGTTCAGACCATCTATTCAGAATGGAGGTTTTATCTGTCAGAAGTGTTTGACCATCTGCACTGAGTAATAGGCTTTGGACTTGGTATGTAGGCCCGTATGCTGTTTTCAGGGCCTCATAGAATCCTTTGTGTTCCCCTGTATCTGCACATAGTTGAGTTTTTGCAGCTAGATCGGTCCACCACTTGTTCTGGATGTCACGGAGTTTCTGTTGGAGCTTGCTGCATGCAAGACGAAAGGCTGTTTTTCTTGCATGACAGGATGGCAGTGCAAGATGTGCTTGGTGGGCAGTTCTCTTCTTCCTCAACAAGTCCTGGATTTCTTGAAATCTTCAAGAAATTCAAGATTTCTCATATACTAACTTGTGTAATTCCCAAGCTGGCCAAATAAGAAATAAAGCTGTATAGTTTTGCTTTTAGGATTACAATATTTTGTATGAAGATGTGTGTGTACACCTGTGACTGTGATATTTATATTCCCAGCTATGCGTGGACAATGAATATATAACATATATAACCTTCATTAGAAATTATGTCAGTCCAAATAAATGGCCATAATCTGATGTCAGCTGATGACATGACAGTGCACAGCTGCAAGCAAAACCATAAATTAAAATATGGATGAAGACAGACATAGAAATCTGTCCTGATGGAGTAAAATCTACATTTTGAGCACTTTTTCTGCTATAATTTCTGCAATTTTATAAAGTTCTTTTAATCTATATGGTTGTAAACTGCATCAATGTACATCCATGTATTCTTATTGAATACTCTCTTTCAGGTAGAGTTGACATCATCATTATACGTTACCTTTTTCTTTTCAATATGTTCAATATTTATACCACAAACATCCCAACCTTGCTCTCCAAAAGATTTTCCACATTGGACCAAGTTTTTATGCCCCTCCAAATAATAATCAAGTAAACTAAAGTCAGCCTTAACATCCTCTTTGTATGCTTTCTCCTTTTTCTCTCCCTTAGTTAAGTCTGCCTCAAACTTTTCCTCCCTCTGGCTTGGGGTTGAGCCTGTACTCCAGGTCTATGACAGAGTGTGACAGGAGGTGATGCCTTTCTCTGCAGAAACTCTGCACTTGCCATTCTGCTGACTCAGGTGAGATTTCTGCATGGCTAGGCTGAAGTCCTAAAATTCAATATTAAGCAACATTTTAATAAGAGTTTTAGAAATAGACTACTAAATCAAGGTTCTAATAAAAGCAGAGAGAGAACAAAATTATTATATGTGGAAGTTGTCTTTACATTTACTATTTCATATTATGCTAAGTCATTAACTAATCTGCTGCAATAATATATTGAATCTTTCCTGCTATTAATTCGTGTACTTTATCAATGATAGTGGTTATTGGCTGTCATTATACACGCGTATACAAATTACTAGAGAGGCAGGAATTTTCCTTTTTCAGTCTGACTTCTTAAGGCTTGCACAGTTGTCAACTTTCCAAAGACTGAGCTTTCCGTGCTTTGAGCAGTAAGCATTCCTATCAGAAAAGGCTCAGAATATGAGGGAAAGAGTTATCTTTTAACATCAGACCAATTTCTGTGGGCAAAACAAGTGCAAGAAAGAATTATTGTGTAAAACTCACAAGAAAGGAGTATGCAGGTGCTCCAACTTCGACAGCTGTATGCGTTTTCTTCATCAAGAAGCAGCAAAGGAATTATGTCATTGAAGACAAGGAGCTATTGTACAGGAGCCATATGAATGTGCTTCACTAGAAGTGAGCTGCATGTTGTCCAGCCATACCTATGTGTCAGCCAGAAAGACATTTCATATCCTCTATGATTTCAAATGGTTATTTACTGAACTTGGTATTGTATAAACTTCAATTCCGCTTTAATTCCTATGAGAGAAAACACAGTTATGTCCCTGAAACACAGGAACAGGTGTATAGAGATAAGGAAGATTCTCCTGGCTGATCCCCAGAGGTTTTGTGGAGGGGACAACCATGTACATAATAGATGGAGTAAGAGCAGTAGTTCTTCAGGTATCAGATTCATAAGAGCTTCTGCCATGTCAAAAGTTTAGCTTCTTTCCATCCTCCACCCTCTGCATATTAGCTCACAAAGTGCATGGCACAAAATCCTGATAAAATCCCATTGATTGGTTATGTATTAAAGTTTGCCAAACACTAACACACAAACTTGGGATATAATTCATTTCTTCTGC